CAGATCCCAGCCCACCACTGCAAGCTGAGGAAACACGTGAGAAGAGGGCAGGAGAAAACAGCAACAGAGCCCCCAATTAGTTGTGTGGGAAAATATAATCTGAGTGCCACTGAATGGCTAAGGAAATAGGTTTAAGCCATCAAAACCCAACAACACTTCAGAGCAATGTTTTCAAAATGATTTTAAAATGATATATTATAAAAGTGTGTAAGTGCATGGTTTCCTTTTCTGCCTGCTCTGAACAGAAGATGCTCTGGCTCAGTGCTGTCCCCCCATCCCACTGAGCTCCCAGCCCTGCTCAGGGCAAGTGGGAACCATCACCCACCACTGCAGGTCTTGCCATCGTTGTTGAGGGTGAAGCCCTCCTTGCAGGCACATTTGTAGGCCCCTGGGGTGCTCACACAGATCTGCTCACAGTCGTGGTCTCCAGTGGCACACAGGTCAGACACCACTGAAAGAAAAATGGGGATTAAAATCAGAGCTCAGGCCAAGACTTTTCCACCCAGAGCTGACTAAGCCTACCCACAGCACAGGGCATTGTCCCAGAAATAAATCCACTCTGCCACAAGACAAACATCCAGGTCACTGCTCCTGGACAGAGCAGCTACAGGAGGCAAGGAGACATTTGGACAAGTCTCCTGCCTCCAAGGCACAGCCAGGACTAGAAATAATCTCCACTCTGAGGTGGGCAGGCCCTGGCACAGGTTGCCCAGAGAAGCTGTGGCTGCCCCTGGATCCCTGGAAGTGTCCAAGGCCAGGTTGGAGCAACCTGGGCTGGTGGAAGGTGTCCCTGCCCATGGCAGGGGTGGAACTGGATGGTCTCTCAGGCCCCTCCAACCCAAACCATTCCATGTGTCCATGAGAAGCTGGCACAGCCCTGTGCTGGGATCCATGGGGGCTGGTGACAAGGACTTACCACAGAAAGCTTCTTGAAACTTCTGGGTCAGCTTCTCAATGACACTGTAGCTCTCCACATAGTCCACGTGGTCGTCCAGGGGCTGGCTGGCGATCTGCCTCAGCGTCTGCATGTCCACCCTGCCCACCCCGATGGCGAAGATCTCGATGCCAGCGGCCCTGGCCCGGGCGGCCACGTCCTGCACCCCGTCCTGGGGACGCCCATCGGTCACCACGATGGCCACCTGCACAGGGAGGGCACGTGTTGGACACCCCATCGGTGACTGCTGGGGCAGAGACACCTCAGGGGGGTGGATGTGGAGGGGGAAGGGATGGGTGGAACCTCATGGAGGCCCCTGAGCTCTGCTCTGGGGGGAGCAGGGACAGCCCCCAGGGAATGGCTGGAGCTGTGTCAGGGCAGGCTCAGGGTGGATCTCAGGGCAAGGTTCTTCCCCCCCAGGCTGGTTGGGCACTGAACAGGCTCCCCAGGGCAGTGGGCACAGCCCCAAGGCTGCCAGAGCTGCAGGAGGCTTTGGCTGATCCTCTGGGGCACAG